AGCTCAGAGCGCGATGCGGGGGAGGAACGCGCGCGGAGGCCGAGGTCTGAGCGTGGCTAGACGGCTCCCACGCCGAGAAAGGGCGGGTGTGCCCGGGCGGGATGGATTTCGCCTCCCTAGACCAGGAGGAGTTGGACCCTGACTACGGTTCCAGTGCCCTCCCAGGGGATCTACGCGCCCTCGTACTGGGTCCAGCAGGGTGGCGCGCTGTGCAGACCCCGAGGCTAGACGGCCTAGGCCCCTGGAAACCAGGAGACGCTCCCGTGGGTGGGCAGTGAAGCAGAATTCAGCCCGTCCCAGCCGTCACCCCCAACCCTGTGGATTAAACCCCTGCCCCCGCCGCGGTCGCCCTCCCTCCAGACAAAGGCCATTAAGGCGCAGCCCTGCGGGCGGTCTTTCATCCCCAGCTAGTCCAGCTCTAGCATTTCAAAGGCCGAATCCAGAGAGCGCTTTGGGGGCGCTCACCTTCCCCCCAGTATCGGGGGGGGAGGGGCCTCTCCCTCCGCTCCCAGTGGGTCGCTTCTACACGCGCCCTTCCACACACCTGCAGGCCTCCTCCCCAGGTTTCTCCCTTCCGTTGTCTGCAGTCCCACACCGCGACCCCCGCGGTCAAGCACGCCCTCTGGGTGGTCAGGACCAAGCGGGACCGGGACAGAACCAGGAGAGCCTTGGAAACGTGGAGAAGCCCCTGAAAGCCAGGTCCCTCCAGGGGGAACTTGGGCCGCTCGGGAGGGGACACCCACTGGATGGCTTCTGGAAGGAGCCGGACTCGCAGAGTCAGGACGCAGGCCAGACCCCGGCCTCATTCCTCGGCCAGTTATCCTGGAGTCGCGTGTATCCTGTCCTGGGCCTCGGACTCCTCCGGGCAGAGGGGCCCCGAGGTCACCTCTGTGGGGTTACAGTACTTGGTGTGACGGTGTGGAAAGCAAGGAGGAAGGTCGCGTTGTATTGGGGGTGGGGTACCCGTCCCTCCCAGCTTGCGGGGTCCTGGGGGTCCTCGCCGCCTCTGAGGGCCTAGATGGCTGCTTCCCTGGGCTTCCCTGCCCGGCCTGGAGCTACGGGTGCGCCCAGCTAGAGTTTAGGGCCACCTGGGGACGTGGAAGGGGCGCTGGAGCGAGGCGGGGGCTGGGGCGGGGCGTGGGTGCTTCACCCGAGGGACGCAGAGCTTAAGCGAAAGCGGTGCAGGCATCTCTCTAATCGCCGGCCTCTATTAAAAATAAAACCGCGACCCGTCGCCATGGCGACCACAACAACAGCGGCCGAGCGAGGGAGGCGAAAACTTGTGCAGCCGCGCGACAGCCACGTTCTGGGGAGACGCGGGGCACGGCGCGCCCGGCGTGGGACAGGGACCCCCCCCTGCCCGGCCCCGCCCCATCCTCCGCCGGATCCCGGAAGAAACAAGAAGACGTGGACCCCCATAGGCTTTTTGGGGGAATTGGGCGTTGAAACCGCAGAGCCGACTTAACCAAGAGGTCGCCGACTTGGATAAAAATCCACGCCCGCGGGGAGCACCCTCCCCGGCCTTCGTTTCCATTCAGACTCCCAGCGTCCTCACTGCAGCCCCTGGAGAGCGGGCGGAGGGAGAAAGTGCGTTTCAGGCGCTCGACCCAGGAGGGGACGATGCGACCCGGGCCTCGCCGGCGGGTTTTGGCCGCGGAAGCTGCAGCACCTGCCCCGCCCGCCCTGCCGCGATCTTTGCAGATGGGGGCGGTCACATGCTTCTTTCTGGCCGGGAATCGAGTTTCACTTCCAGCCGCTATTAGTCGGTTCGCACAGTTCACTGCAAACATTTGATAATGAGGCTAAATATACTCCCGCGTCGGAGGAGGCGTGGGCGGCCAGATCGCGTGGGCACTGCGCTCGGAGCTCCGCCGGGCGTCCCCTCCCAGGCCCAGGAGACAGAGGCGCGGACCCCGGGACGGAGGCTGGCTTTGTGCGGGAGGGAGACGCGCCCCGCGCGCCGCCCCCCGAAACATTCCCACCCCAGGTTGCGGCGCGCGTCTGGGAGGCCGTGGGCGCCCCGAGGTGAGCCCGGGGCCCTGGCGGAAGCAGCGAGGAGCTCCCGGCGGGTGCGGGGAGCTGCTGGTGGGAAGCAAGGTGCACCTGGCGGCCTGGGATGTCCGGTCGCCCCCGGAGCCGGTGCATCCGGCCTCTCCCGGCGCGCCCCGACGTGCCCGCGGGCGCATAATTACCGTGAGTCAGGTGCCCCAAATAGGCCGAGCGAGGGGGGCCATCGCGCAGCAGGGGCGGGTGGCCAGACGTCTGCCCCTGGCTGGTTCCCTCCTGCCCCTCCCCAAGACCCTGGCACCCAGGGAAAGCGGGAAGGGCCTTGGCCAATCCTCAGGATAGGGGGCTGGAGAGGAGAAGAAAACTTTTACCGAGCCCAGCGCTGCCCCCTCATACCCATCCCCACCCAGGCTGCATGTACGGGGCCCGTCCGGGGCTTGGCACCAGCAGGCACGCAGCGATCGCTGTCGTTGTTATTTAGTAGTAGTAGTAACGTCTGACATTTACGGCGACGTGGATGGCGCCAGGTGCTAAGCTCTTTCCTTGTATAATTTCACAGGCACTCACACATCAACGCGAAGCGAGGACTTGCAAGGGTGCTGAGCACCCCAGGGACACCTCTGCAACGTCGGTAAATATAGACCATCCTCAATTCGCAGGGGCATTTGTACGTGGGGTGTACAGGCAGGAACAGGAAAGAAGCGAGGGGCCACCCAGGAACAGTGCTTGTGGTCAACACTCCGGATCCCCAGGTCCAAGGTTCGAGGAGGGGGCACAGGCAAGTTCTCTCCTCTGCTCTCTGCCCCTTGACCTTGGCCTTGGTGAGATCTGTCCCTAGACTGCCCTGGGTGTCCCTTGCCTCATCTGAAAAGCAGGAGGTGGACAGCCGTCCCTGCGCCAGCTGCCTCCACTCTCAGGAAGCCTCCCTCCCACCCACCTGCCCAGGAAAAGCTGCACTGGGGTGCCCTGGGCAAGGGCACTGTTGGCCGCCTGCCTGCACCTGGGTTGGGGGTAGGGGGGCCAGCTGGGCACCCAAATCCTGGCTGCTGCTTCCCAGTGCCAGGGCAGATTTCAGAACAATTTGTAATGACGAAACCCGTTTCCCTTTATCTCTGGGCAAGGCTTTCTCCGTTCTAGGCAATTAATCCAAAAGCAACCCCAGCCGAGTGGGCTGGACTCCTTGAAGATCAAAACTGCCCAGCGCAGGCGTTAATTAAGTCATTATCTCAGGCCCCCAGCGACTAGGGATCAGGCCTTTCCAGTTCACACTCTCCAGAAACGTAGATAACCCCCGCCGGCCGCCAGCAGGGTGGGAAGGCTCTCTCTCCATGTTGTTTTAACTCCCTATTAAATCATTGTATTTTCTTTTAAACACACAAATAGAAGTGAAGTTGAAAATAGACACAAGCCCACAATCGTTGTGTGAACATTTTGTGAATGAAGACATGCATGAAAGGACATTTGGCAGCTTCAAGAAACAAAAGCCGAGAGTCTAGCTAGACCAGGGCCATCCAGCCCAGGAGCGATGGCCACGCGTGGCCGCTGGGCACGAGAGATGTGGCCGGTCCAAACTGCGCACTACAGTAAGTGCAGAATGCATACCAGGTTTCAAATGCTTAGTAAAGAATGCAAAATTTCTCAATTGGGAATTTTTGTATGAATTTCAGGTTGAAAAAACATTTTGGATACATGGAGTTAAATAAACATGATTACAATGAATTTCGCTGTTAGCCTCCCGGAGGCTTGTCTTGTTCTTCTGGGCCACAGCCAGCTCAGAGGGTTGCTCTAGGAAATATCCACACATTCTTTCAACACAGGTTTATGTGCCAGGCTCTGTGCTAAGTGCTGAGGACACGGCGCTAAGACCAGGCCCTCACGGAGCTCTCAGTTTCTGAGGAGAAACAGTGAGCCAGAGATATGCGCAGGTGCAGCATTTCAGGTAAAGGATTTCAGGCCCAGGTCAGGAAGGCCTTGTCTGAGGAGTCTGAGAAGAAGCCGACTGAGAACATCTAGAACATCTAGGTCAGGCATTTCAGGCAGACACGACAAAGCAGGTGCAAAGGCCCGAGGGCGAGAACCAGTGTGACTTGTTCACGGAACAACGAGGCAGATCGCTTGGCCTTGGGACCAAAGGAAGGCTCTGGATTTTATTCTAGGGACAGTGGAAGCCATTGGAGGGCTTCGGGCAGGAACACAAAATGTCGTGGCATAAAGGAAGACAGGGCCGGGTACAGTGGCCCACGTCTGTCATCCCAGCACTTTAGGAGGGAGGCCAAGGCAGGAGGATCGCTTCAACCCAGGAGTTCGAGATCAGCCTGGGCAACATAGCAAGACGCTGTCTCTCTTAAAACTCTAAAAATTAGCCAGGCATGGTGGCATGTGCCTAAGTTCCCAGGTCCTTGGGAGACGAAGGCAGGAAGATCGCTTAAGCCCAAGAGTTTGAGGCTGCAGTGAACTATTATCCTACCACTCCACTCAGCCTGGGTGACAGAGTGACTCTGTCTCAAAACTAAATAAATAAAGGAACAATAATCATGTTATTCTCTCTCGATTTCTCACATTCTGAATTCAAGATGGACTCAGCCAGCAGGTTCAGGCTCCGGATCTGTCCTGTAGCTATGGTCAGAGCTGGTGGGTTTTGGGGAACGGGGGGCTGGCCAGCATCCCCCACTTTCAGGTGGGCTCAACTCTGTCTCGTGGCCTGTTGGGGGCCAGCATGGGCTTCCTGACAACATGGAGGCCTCCAGGGTCAAGCTGCCTCTGGGATGGCAGAGGGCTTCGTGTGTGTGCTCCCACGCCCACAGTGGAGGCAATACACCCTTTCCAGTCTAGCAGTACCTGTGCACAGCACCACGCCTCTGTACACTCTCAGCCTAAGCTGTCCCCAGCCCTCCTGGACTCTGGAGTAGGGGACGCAGAAACTCCATCCCAGACAGAGGGAGTGCCAAGGTGTGCACAGGCAGGTTCTAACACTGCTTGGTGGTTTCACGGGGCTCCCTCATGGAGAAGGGGCTGCAGGAGGATAGGGAGGTGTGCAGTCATCTGGGTGAGATATGAGGGTCTGGGCTTCCAGATGGCTGCAGTGGAGACCGTTAAGAAGAATGCATATGGTAAGGCTTCTGAAAGGCTCAGCAGGTTCCTGGCAGCTGCAGACACTCGATTCTTAGCACTTGCCAATTGCTGGGGTGTAAACACTCCCACTGTCACTATTTCAGGCTATGCTCCTTGCCTCCACTGGGTCTGGCCCTTAAAACAGCAAGAAAGCAACTCGGAAGCTGAGTCAGCCCCGTCTCCCCGCCATCCGTCCCCACAGATCCTTCCCTGTTCCAGAGTTCCCGCTGGCAGCCACCTGGGGTTCACAGGGGGCATCTCCCGTCCTGTGCAGTGAGAGAAAACCAGGGAAGCATCTTGATCTCACCTAAAAATGAAGGTCATTATATCTGACACCTGCGTTGTACAGGTGAGGAGGTTGGCATTACAAGTAGTGGTGGTGGTGAGATTTGAACCCAGATCTCTGTTCTCTGGGGCCTGCCATTTGCCTGGGAGCTGTGGGATTCAGCAGAGAGACACAGAAATACAGACCCAGTTGGCTCCCATAGAAACAGAGTCACCCCACAGGGCAGCTGGAAGGGAGTGGGCGAGAACAGGTCCTCAGGGGTCTCTGCTCTCCCTGTCGCTCCCTGCCTCGCCCCCTCCTCTCCCTTCCTCTCTTCAACCCCTGCAGGTGGAGGTCTGGCTGGGAAGAGACGTTTTCCTAGTAGATGTTTTGGCTGGGCAGACTGAGCTTTGAGAAGGAGCCAGGCAGAGCAGGGCTAGGGAGTGAGGGCGTTAGGGAGCCTGAAGTTTAGTGACCACGGCCCCTCCCAGGCCAAAGCCGCAAACCCCTCCCACACCCAAGGGCTTCAGACTCAAGTCCCAAGTTCCTGCATGTTGGATATGAATTCCAGGTTCCAAGGTGGGGCAGGCGTGGGCCTGAATCATCCGGCAGGTCACTGGGGTCACTGGGGTCACCCAGTTAAAGCCCAGAGCTCTTCTCCTGGGTGCTGCCCCCAGCCTCTGTTCCTCTTGTGACCGCGGATGGGTTGGGAGCAGCCTGTGGTCCCTCATTCCATCCGGTTTTGAGGACCTCACCCCCATCAAAAGGTGCAGGTTAGACGTCGGGAGAGGCAAAGGAGCCAGGCCAAGCCCCCATGCCCCTGACCTTCCTCAGCCTCTGCTGAGGGAAGAGGATG